CCTTGAACCTAAAATGAAAGTTGTTGTTTTTTTTTTTAAAGAATGTTTGGCGAGGTGCAATGGCTCATGCTTATAATCCCAGCACTTTGGGAGTCCAAGGCAGGTGGATCACCTGAGGTCAGGAATTCAAGACCAGCCTGGGCAACATGGCAAAACCCCATCTCTGCTAAAAATACAAAAATTAGCTGGGCATGTTGACACACACCTGTAGTCCCAGCACTTTGGTAGGCTGAGCCGGGCGGATCACCTAGGGTCGGGAGTTTGAGACCAGTCTGGCCGATATGGTGAAACCTTGTCTCTACTAAAACTATAAAAAATTTGCTGGGCATGCTGGCATGTGCCTGTAATCCCAGCACTTTGGGAAGCTAAGGTGGGTAAATTAACTGAGGTCAGGACTTCAAGACCAGCATGGACAACATGGTGAACCCTGTCTCTACTGAAACTACTAAAAATTAGCTGGCCATGGTGGCACACAAATGTAATCCCAGCTACTCACTCGGTAGGCTGAGGCGGGAGAATTGCTTGAATCCAGGAGGTAGAGGTTGCAGTAAACTGAGATTGGACCACTGCATTCCAGCCTGGGTGACAGAACAAGACTCTGTCTCAAAAAAAAAAAAAAAATTCTTTATCCATTTATCAGTCAACAGACACTTAGATTGTTTCTGTGTCTTGACTACTATGAATAGTGCTGCAATGAACATAAAAATGTGGATATCTTTATGAGGTGATGATTTCATTTCCTTTGGGTATATGTCCAAGAGGGGGATTCATGGGTCATATAATAGGTTTATTTTTCATTTCTTTCGGAAACCTTCATACTGTTTTCCATAATGGCTGGACCAATCTATATTGCCACTAACAGTGTACAAGAGTTCCCTTTTCTCCATACCCTTGTCAACATTTGCTATCTTTTTTGACTTTTTGATAATAGCCATCCTAACAGGTGTGAACTGGTGTCTCAAAGTGGTTTGATTTGCATTCCCTGATTGTTAATGATATTGAGCACCTTTTAATATACTTGTTGGCTATTTTAATGTTTTCTTTGGACAAATAACTATTCGGGTCTTGAGGGGTTTTTTTTGTTTTTTTTTTGTTTGTTTGTTTGTTTTGCTATACAGTCTCTTGCTCTGTTGCCCATGATCTAAGCTCACTGCAGCCTCGATCTCCCTCCTGGGCTGGAGCAATCCTCCTGCCTCAGCTTCTTGAATAGGTGTGACTACAAGCATGTGCCACTATGTCTAGCTTTTTTTTTTTTAGTAGAGATGAGGTCTCACTATATTTCCCAGGTTGGTTTTGAACTCCTGAGCTCAAACGATCCACCTGTCTCAACCTCCCAAAGTGCTGGAATTATAGGTGTGAGCTACCACACCCAGCCGTTTTGCCCATTTTTAATTGGGTTATTAGTTTGTTTTCACTATTGAGTTATATGAGTTATTTATAAATTTCTGATTTTTTTTTTTTTGAGAAAGAGTCTCACTCTGTTGCCCAGGCTGGAGTGTAGTAGCACAATTGTACTTAACTATAACCTCAAATTCTTGGACTCAAGCAATACTTCCACCTCAGCCTCCTGAGTAACTAGGACTACAGATGTGCACCACCCTGGCCAGCACACCAAAGTAATTTTTAACTTACTTTGTGGAGATGGTGGGGGCGTCTCACTATGTTGCCCAGACTGGTCTCAAACACCTCTCACTTCAGCTTCCCAAAGCACTGGGATTATAGGTGTGAGACATTGCAACACTTGGCCTAAATTTTGGATATTAATTCCTTTGCACATACATAGTTGGTAAATATTTTTTCCCAATCTATAAGCTGCTATTTCATATTGTTGATTGCTTCCTTTTCTATGCAGAAGCATTTTCCTTTGTCATCCACTTGTTTTTGTGACCTACTTTTCAGTGTGATATCCAAAAAATTATCGCCAAGGCCAATGTCCAGGAGCTTTTCCCTTAGGTTCTCTTGTAGAAGTTTTGTAGTTTCTGGTCTTAAATTTATGTCTTTTATCTATTTTGAGTTAACTTTTATGTATGGCATAAGGGCCTAATTTCATTCTTTTGCATGTGAAAGGTAGTTCGATTTTTAGTATTTTTGAGAAAGAGCCATACTGTTTTCCATCATGCCTGCATTAATTTCATTCTCACCAACAGTGTACAAATGTTCCCTTTTCTCTGCATCTTCCCAAGATTTATCTATTGTCTTTTAAGATAATAGGATTCTAACAGACATGAGGAGATATTTCATTGTGGGTTTAATTAGTACTCGGTTAGTGATGTTGAACACTTTTCCATATATTTTTGACCCTTTGTATGTTTTCTTTTGAGATATGTCTATTCATGTTCTTTGGTGCATTTTCATTGGATTGTTTTCTTACTATTGAGCTGTCTGAGTTCCTTATATGTTTCAGATACTAACCTGTTATTACACGTATGGCTTCCAAATGCTTTCTCCCATTCCACATGTTGTCTATTCATCTGTTCATTGGGCCATTGCTTCCTTTGCTGTGCAGAAGCCTTTTAGTTTTATGTAATCCCATTTGTCCACTCTTGCTTTTGTCGCTGTGCTTTTGAAGTCATATCCTAAAAATCTTTACCCAAACCATGTCAAGAAGGAACCTTCATAACCATGCAAATACACAGAAATTAAATAACCTGCCTCTGAATGATCATTGGGTCAAAAATGAAATCAAGATGGAAATTTAAAAATTCTTCAAATTGAGCAACAATAGTGACACAACCTATCAAAACCTCTAGGATACAGCAAAGGTGGTGCTAAGAGGAAAGTTCATAGCCCTAAACGCCTACATCAAAAAGTCTGAAAGAGAACAAACAGATAATCTCAGGTCACACCTCAAAGAACTAAAGAAACAAGAACAAACCAAATGCTAACCCACCAGAAGAAAAGAAATAACCAAGATCAGGGCAGAACTAAATGAAACTGAAACAACAAAAAATTAAAAATAAAAAAAATAAAACAAAAATCTGTTTCTTTGAAAAGATAAATAAAATTGATAGACCGTTAGCAAGATTAACCAAGAAAAGAAGAGAGAAAATTCAAATGAGCTCAATTAGAAACAAAATGAGAGATATTACAACTGACACTGCAAAAATACCAAAGATGATTCAAGACTACTATGAACACATTTACACACATAAACTAGAAAACCCAGAAGAGATGGATAAATTATTGGAAAGATACAACCCTCCTAACTTAAATCAGGAAGAATTAGGTACCCTGAACAGACCAACAACAAGTAGTGAGATTGAAATGGTAATAAAAAAAAAAATACCAACAACAAAAAATGTCCAGGACCAGATGGATTCATAGCAGAATTCTACCAGACACTAAAAGGGAATTGGTACCAATCCTACTGGCACTATTCCACAAGATAGAGAAAGAGAGAACCCTCCCTAAATCATTCTATGAAGCCAGTACCAATGTAATACCAAAACCAGGAAAGTACATGAGCAAAAAAGAAAACTACAGACCTATATCCCTGATGAACATAGATGCAAAAATCCTTAATGAAATACTAGCTAACCAAATCCAGCAACATATAAAAAAGATAATCCACCATGATCAAGTGGGTTTCATACCATAGATGCAGTGGTGATTTAACATACGCAAGTCAATAAATGTGACACATCATGTAAACAGAATCAGAAACAAAAAAAAACCCACATGATCATCTCAATGGAGACAGAGAAAAAACATTTGATCAAATCCAGCATCCCTTTATGATTAAAACTCTCAGCAAAAATTGGCATACAAGTGACATACCTCAATGTAATAATAGTTATCTATGACAGATGCACAGCCAACATAATAATGAATGGGGAAAAGTTGAAAACATTCCCTCTGAGAACTGGAATAAGACAAGGATGTCCACTCTCACCACTCCTCTTCAACACAGTACTGGAAGTCCTAGCCAGAGTAATCAGACAAGAAAAAGAAATAAAGGGCATCCAAATTGGTAAAGAGAAAGTCAAACTGTCACTGTTTGCTGATAATATGATTTTTTTTACCCAGAAAACCCTAAATATTCCTCCAGAAAGTTCCTAGAAATAAAAAAATAATTCAGCAAAGTTTCTGGATACAAAATTAATGTACACCAATCAGTAGCTCTTCTATACACCAACAGCAAACAAACCAAAAATCAAGACCCTTTTACAATAGCTGCAAATAAAATAAAATACTTAGGAATATACCTAACCAAGGAGGTAAAAGACCTGTACAAAAAACACTTCAAGACCCTACTTAAAGAAATCACAGATGACACAAACAAATGGAAATATCCCATGCTCATGGATGGGTAGGGTCAATATTGTAAAAATAACCATACTGCTAAAAGCAATCTACAAATTCAATGCAATTCCCATCAAAATACCACCATCATTCTTCACAGAATCAGAAAAAAAACCCTAAAATTCATATGGAACCAAAAAAAGAGCCCACATACCCAAAGCAAGACTAAGCAAAAAGAACAAGTCTGGAGGCATCACATTACCCGATTTCAAACTATACTATAAGGCCATAGTCACCAAAACAGCATGATACTGGTACAGAAACAGGCACCTAGACCAATGGAACAGAATAGAGAACCCAGAAATAAACCCAAATGCCAACTGATCTTCAACAAAGCAAACAAAAACATAAATGAGGGAAGGACACCCTACTCAACAAATGGTGCTGGAATAATTGGCAAGCCACATGTAGGAGAATGAAACTGGATCCTCATCTCTCACCTTATATAAAAAAGCCAAGAGGGATCAAGGACTTTAAGACCTGAAACTATAAAAATTCCAGAAGATACATTGGAAAAACACTTCTAGACAGTGGCTTAGGCAAGGAATTCATGACCAAGAACCCAAAAGCAAATGCAATAAAAACAAAGATAAACAGCTGAAACTTAATTAAACTAAAGAGCTTTTGCATGGCAAAATGAACTGTCAGCAGAATAAACAGACAACCCATAGAGTGGGAGAAAATCTTCACACTCTATACATCTGACAAAGGACGACTTTCCAGAATCTAAAACAAACTCAAACAAATTATCAAGAAAAAAAAGCCATCAAAAAGTGGGCTAAGGACATGAATAGACAATTCTCAAAAGAAGATATACAAATGGCCAATAAATATATGAAAAAATGCTCAACATCACTAATTATTACGGAAATGCAAATCAAAACCACAGTGCAATACCAACTTACTCCCACAAGAATGGCCATAATAAAAAAAATCAAAAAATAATAGATTTTGGTGTGGGTGTGGTGAAGAGGGAACACTTCTACACTGCTGGTGGGAATGTACAACAAATATGGAAAACAGTGTGGAGATTCCTTAATCCCACTACTAAGTATCTACCTAGAGGAAAACAAGTCATTAAATGAAGAAGATTCTTCATATGCACATTTATAGCAGCACAAATTGCAATTGCAAAAATGTGGAACCAACCCAAATGCCCATCAATCAACAAATGGATAAAGAAACTGTTGTGTATATATATATATATATATATATATGATGGAATACTACTCACCCATAAAAAGGAATGAGCTAATGGCATTCACAACAACCTGGATGGGATTAGAGACTATTATTCTAAGTGAAGTAACTCAGGAATGGAAAACCAAACATACTATATTCTCATTAAGTGGGAGCTAAGCTACGAGGATGTAAAGGCATAAGAATGACACAATGAATGTTGGAGACTCAAGGGGAAATGGCGGGAAGGGGGTGAGGGATAAAAGACTACAAATTGGGTGCAGTGTATACTGCTTGAGTGATGGATGCGCCAAAGTCTCACAAATCAGGACGAAAGAACTTACTCATGTAACCAAACACCACTGGTTCTCCAATTACTTATGGAAATAAAAAATTAAAATAAAAAAATAAAAAATTTGCACTGCACCAAAAAAAAAGGAAGTTTTTCCCATTTTCTTCTAGTTTTACAGTTTCTGGTATGTTTTAACTCTTTTAACTATTTAGAGTTGATATTTGCATATGGTATGACATAAGGATTTAATTTCATTCTTCTGAATGTGGATTATCCAGTTTCCCTAGCACCATTTACTGAAGAGGTTGTCCTTTCCTCATTGTGTGTTCTTGGCAACTTTAACAAAGATCAAGTGACCATAAATGCATGGGCTTACTTCTGGGCTCATTGTGCTGTTCCATTGGTCTACGTGCTTCCCCTACAGCCTGTGAAACTGTGAGCCAATTAAACTTCTTTTATTTATAAATTACCCAGTTTCAGGTATTTCTTTATAGCAATATGCAAATGGACTGCAACCCAGCCCCCCTACCCAGCCAGACAGCCATAATGCTACAACCATCCCCTGAGCTCATTCACCATCACACAATGCAATAAACTTTTTCAAACAATTATGAAGAAAAATACATAAAGAATAATCTACACCCACACACATATGCACACCGGTTGAAAACACAATATTTGAAATAAAATCAGATTTCAACATTTTGGTTACTTTTAATATTTTTGGGAACAAATACTGGTGACAACACATTTTAAGTACATAAATAACTCAGAAAAGTCATATCTTTTATTCTGGAACTCTACTGACCTTATCTGTAAAAAGGGCCTAGTTTTAATAGAAATAGGGGGTAGGGAGGGGAAGAAACAAATGGAGAGACTGAAGAGGAATCAAAGCTCAGGATTCTTCACAAATGCCGCAGCTTCCGCAGTTGGTCCAGAGGATGGTAGTTGTGTATACCAGGTTACACTAACCTCAGCAAAACCTAGTTCCCAGACACAAATGTGTCCAGTGGATAAAACCTCAGCCACAGACATAGATTTTAGCAATATCCAAAGACATTCCAGGGGCTGGTAGGAAGAACAAAATATGGCAAAACTGAAAACTACCATGGACTTGGCAGCATCCAAGGGCATCATCAGAGGGGCTCTTTCATGCATGACCACAGTCCTGCAAACTCAACCAAAGTTCTGGGATGTAAATGTAACCAATTTCATCAAATTTCCACACAGCAGAGCAGTAGATATAAAGGCAGCCCCTGGGCTTAGGGCACAGAAGCCCAGCTACACCCAGAAGCCTTAACAGGATGCTGGAGCCCTGGGCTCAGTGATACAGGCTTGTCCATCAAAGCCCCATCCTCAGGCAGGGGCTCAGGTTCTGGGCCCGAAGCTGTGCATGTTGTACCCAGCAAGAGGGGCCTTTTGGCTGGAATCTGGAGGGTCAGCTCCTGAGCTCTCGGTTTCCGAGGAGGGCGACCACGACCACGTCTGCCATTTGACGGGTGGATAATCTGTGCAGATGGACCAGGGGTGGATGATAGAGTTGATCTGGGCTTCCTAGAGCTGTGGACAGCAGCAGCTCTGGGGTGCATAGCAGTGCCACTGACTGCAGATCGGCGTGGGAGTGAAGAGCACATAAGGGTGTGGGAGTGAGTCCCACTGCCGGCAACCATAGGCAAAGGGGAATGCCGGGCCCAGTGGGGCGGGAGTTGTCTCAGGCCCAACGCTGCTCTCCTAGGCAACTTGACTTCCTTCTGGGCGTTCAGCTCTTGGCTGGCCGGCACCGTGGGCTCCATGTGGTCCACAACTGCCCGGTCTTGCCCACGTTTCCACAGCTCATAGCGCTCGGGTTGCAGGATGCGCACAAAGGCGTCCATGGAAAAGGTCACCCTCGCCTCCCCACAGCTACACTGAGAGGCCACTTTGCCATAATCAATCCATCGTGGAGTGGCAAAATTGATGGCCTCTGCACAGTTGAAGCCATGATTGAAGCCTGCATGGTAGCCATAGGGAAAAGTCACCATGAACTCCCCAGCCTCCTGAGTCATGCGATTGAAAGGAATCCCGTTCTCTTTGAGAACTGTAGGTGAGATGAGGGCCACCTTGTGGCGCAGGAAGGCCTCACAGCCCCGGGAACTGCCTGGGAAGAGCTCTCTGGCCAGGCGTTCCAAGCGCTGGCCATGTTCTGGGGGCACTGCGTACCAAGTTTTGGGCTCCCCAAGGTGCAGGTAGTTGATGCTGTAAAGGTCCATGTCCTCCGTGTGCCAAGCAAACGTGGTCTTCCACATGCCAAAGTACAAGTAGGGTGTATTGACGCCTTCTATGACAACCCCACATTCCTGCTCCAGCAGGTCCTGAATTGTTCCCAGGTGCCCAAGATTCCACTGTTTAGTGTTTTCATCAAACAAGGAGCCACTGATGTCAGCACCATAAATTGGTGAATTATAGATGCGGTTCTTCCAGTATTTTCGCTCCAAATCTTCAAAATTCAGGTGTGGTGGAGTCCGATATTTTTCACTGTTTGCCAAATGGCGATACTCCCCGACAGTCATGGCTTTCTTCTTTTTATGATATTGAGTAAACACCCCTGCCCGCCCAGAGGCCATCTGCTGGAGGGGAGTGGCTATTAAGATTTCACTGATATTATCATAGGTCTCTCTGGCTTTCCATTCTTTGGGTGGAATTATCTTAGCCAAGCCAGCTCTGTGTGCACCTTGGGATTCCATGTAAGCAATATATTTATCAAAATCATTAAACTCTTCTTTGGTTGGATAAAATATCATTATGTTACAGTTTGGATTCTGGGCACAGTTGGCCTTAGACTTCATACTTTCCATTTAATTAGCAGTAAACGCGCAGTGTTTAGGTATGTTCTATATAGTTGATGATGTAGGCAAATGCTACTTTAAAAAAAATTGGGTTGGTGTATCTATGAGGTAGCAGGATCTACCAGCCTAAGCCTACTTTTTTTGCAAATGAGATGATAATCTTTCTCAGGCTTGTTTATTCACCAGGGAGATTCCACTCTGGGCAGCAACTTTGCCCAGGCATTGATGTTAGCTGACCCTGCAACTCTTATGTTTCAGTTGCTGCTGGGCTCTGTCTTCTTAAAGTCTATTGAATTACTCAGACCTGGGCAGGGGGGGGTGACCCAAATGTAGCAGAGTATGTCCTCAGTGTTTAGAACAAAATCTAAAAGAAAGAATACACAGAGGTTGAAAATTAATATTTGGAAAAAATTATTAGGCATCTATAAATTAAATGCCAGAATGGAACACTAATATTACAAAGAGAAGTTAAAATTTTATAAGATTGATAATTCAAGGGTGGTGTGGAAATGGAACAGTGAGAATTTTCATACCCTACTACAGAGAATATGAAGCACTATAATCACTTTGGAAAACTATTCTGATGGTATCTTCTAAAAGTGAACATACTCATGTGCTGTGATCCAACTGTTCCACATGCCTAGGAAATGTGTATGGCTGTGTGCTGAAAGTCACATCCAATGTTCGTAACAACACTGTTTCTGGTAGACACACACTGTAAACAACTCAAATGTCCATCAGCAATAAAACAAATGAGTACACTGCAGTATATTCACACAACAGAATACCATATAGCAATGAATGTAAACAAAAGCCACGTGAAAATGCAGTTTTATAAAGATCAATATTGAGTAAAATTATCAAGACTCAGAAGAATACCTATTATATAATTCCATTTATATAAAGATGAAAAGGAGGCAAAGCAATCTATGTCTGAATCGCTTCTAGGCCTTTTGGCTAGAGTGTAGCAATCTATGTTTGAAGTCAGAGTAGTGGCTACCTTGGGGAAAGATGAGTTGTTGTGGAGGGGGGCTTAAGGGAATCTCTTGAGTAAAGTTAATCTTTTCAGAACCTGGGTGCTTGTCTCATACCTATCAGAATAGCTCATTGTGATAACTCTTCAAGGTATGATGATTTTCACAAATTTCCGTATGTTCATTTACAAATACGGTTTAGGGTGAAAAGCATTAACTACAACTAAGAGGCATATTTCATTGCACTAAAAGGAAAAGAATGAACAATTGAAAATAAACTATACATTCAAATGATAAAGGTGGCAAATTAGAGTTAGAGAAAAAAGAATGAATGGTACAGAAATAACAAAAAATAAAGCTGATGTGTTTCCTTAACTCATACTATGGGACTTTGCAGTATTTGTCCCTATCCCTTGCACAACTGGTAGCAGCCCTCTACGGACCAAGCTAGCATGACAGGAATTTTCCCCATAGAGAAGGGCCATTCAAAAGATATGAAGAAAGCAGATAGTAAGGTTCCAGGCAAATATACCTCAGTGAGAAAGGGATAAGGTTGTTGGTGGGTTGAATGGAGAATGAACCATTAAATCTATCCTGGATAAAAAAGGAAATGGGAACTTGAGGGAGGTTTGTGAGCTAGATTTCTCTATTTGGTCAAATAATTATGTTAGAACTCTAGGAAAGGGAAGCGCAAAAGAGATTGGGATGCTTGAAACAGATTTTTTAAACTAGGGGCAGTTTTTAACTAAGTGCCTGTTTTACTGATATCTTGAAATCTTGCTGAGTTTTAACTTTATGCTATTATTCAACTTCAAACTGTTTCTCTCCTCCTACATTCTCCCTCCCAAACTTCCCCTTCTTTCTCAGTTCTTAAGTTCCACTCCTTCCCAAGTATATGAACTTGATCCTTCATCTTCCTTTACTGTCCTGACAAAACTGCATATCTTTCATATCCTGTAGTTCTTTTGGCAGTTATCACTTCTACCTTATAAAATGTCAACAGTGTCACTTATTTAGCACTTCATTTAGCCAGGCCCCTTATTAAGCATTTTAGAGTACCCCATTCAAAACTCACAACTAATCTCTAAAGCTGGTACTATCATTATCCCCATTTTATGAAGGAAGAAACCAAGGTATAGAGAAATTTATAATTAATAGCTTGTGTTTTCAGTGTCTAGAATTATGTCTTTGCTTGACTTATCTTCCATATAAAAGTATTTTGAGAATATGATCTGTGTCTTGTTAAGCATTGTATTTTCCAAGGATATTGGTATCTTATATATTGCAGGCACTAAAAACATTTTTATTACATAATTAAATGAGTTGGCACACACTTCCCTCTGTCTCCTCTTGATTATACCCATCTTTCTTACTGTTCTCCCTCTTCTCAGGGGAAGAGAAAACGCTGCTTTCCAGAGCTAATTTCTCCATTTGAACTCCTTAAATCAACACATCTCACTTACTACAGCACTATGCTCAATAATCAGTTATCTTTCTCTTTATTAAAACATCAGTTATCAATCTCTTTCCTAATTCAAGCTACTGTCCTTACTTCCTCTCTCCCTCCTCTCAGCCTCCTCTCTCTCTGTCTGCCCCAACCCCACCACCCACAAATCCCAGGTTCTTGCCCACACCTTTCTACTGACATTGTTCTTTGTAAATCATCAAACTGCCTCCCAAATTCTGCTCCAGGAGTTACACTTCAACTCTCCACACCACTGGTTCACAGAAAACCTCCTCCTTCCTCTTAAAACTTCTCCAACCTCTAGGGCACGGATACTTCTTTTAACTCTCTGGTTCTTTTCTTTCTCCTGGGTTCCACCTCCTCTTCTTCCCCAAACATGCAGACATCTCAAAGTTAAATTTTCCTCTCTCTTAACTTTCTTTCTCTCTTTAAATTTCCTAGTTATAGTCAGGGCTTCTGTTAGTACCACACTGTTTCCCTTTAAACCTGTTATTTATTGTCATAGCTTTCTTCAATAACTGACTCTCTCCTAAGTTTCTGCTTTCCTTCTCCATCTTGGATGGCCCAGTGAGCCCCTGAAAGTCAACTGGTTTAATAAAAATTGATGATCTTTCTCCTGAAACTAAGTTTCTCCTTTAGATGTCTTTATTTCTACCAAGGGCAATATTGTGTTATCATAGTCACCACTGACTATTACATCTCCCTTTTCCCAGACATATAGTCAATGCCTGTGGGAGGATCCAACAACAGTATACTGTGAGGCCCCAAGGACATCTAGACACCCCAGCATGTGCTCACTTTATCTTCCTTATAGAAGAACCCAAGGATCCAGCTTGCCTTCCTCTCCTACTTAAAGCTGTCACTACTCAAGCGAGACATTGTGGATGTACAAGTGACAAGATTACCTGTACCATATGATAGTCTCCCAATTTCATTCTAATCTTTTAATCTTAAAAATTATTCTACAATGATTTTATCATAAATTCTTTATATTTTGGAATATAAAATGTTTCTTTTTTTCTATTAGAAAGCTTACTGTAGAGAAATGAAGAAAGAAAAGTGGGACAATTTAGAAGGATAATTAAATATCAGAAACTTAAATACCACACTGAGGGTCTTTCTCTCAAGAAATAACAAAATGCTAACTATGAAAATCACAGAAATCTCCATTTCCTTTTGAATATACAAGTAAAATAAGCTTTGGGTTGAGCACTTTGTATTTGTTTTATAAGTACATTATTTCTTTGCTACATTTCTGAGGATTCTAGGAAGAACGATGCAATGTCTTCTTATACATATAATCTTCAGCTGTTGCACATCAAAAGGAAATACCACAATTTGTAAGTGTGACTGTGTCCAAACAAAACTGCTTAGAATTTTCCAGGTACAATGACAGAGTGATCCTTCAGTGTTCTAACCAAAAGTGTCACTTCTCTAAGAGTCTTCAATGGTTGCTTTTGTTGTGAGACTACTTCTTGCTTCTTTCAACTGGAGCCACAGCTACCAGTAGAGAATAATTACACTGTCACTTGATACTCTTTCATTTTATCCTTATCCACAGTAATCACAATAAGGCAGAATTCTTCATCTAAGAAAACTTTGGACAGTTCCGACAGTAACAGAAAAGTATTTTCTTCTTACCAGAATAATTTAAAAAATAATACCTGATCCCCTGAAATTAATGGATTTCTGGGAATTAGAAAGTCTTTCTTTGGGTCTTTTAGAAATAATGCCTCCTAAGTTTCTTGCTGTGTATGTGTTGTGGGGTGTTAAACTAAGGAAATTAAGAAATGAAGCTGAATAAGTTTAACAGTCCCTTTCACTGCAGCCCTTGCCCACATTGTAGGACAAGAGGAGAGCCTGTTTGTCTGTCCTGTTGCATGTGTATTTCAAATCTCTTACTTCAAATGGGGGATTGTTGACAAAGTGCCTCAGACATTAGCCATTGTTTCTTCTGACAGTCAATATCTAAACACTATGTTTAATCAATTTTTTTCTCAGAAAATCTACTACTTATTTAAAATAATGTATAAGAATAATATAGTTGATAACTGAAAAAATTCTACTCTATGTGGACAAGTGATTGAACTTTCCCCCATTAGTGGACAGCTATTTTGTTTTCACTTTTCCATAACTATTACTAATCACTTTTACTTAAATATGTAGTCTGTATTTCAGTATCTAAAACAGCACATCCCGTAAAATATTGGTTGAATGAATTTGTTTAGATTAGATACTTGTAAATGAAATTACATTATAGAATTGAAATATTTTAAGATCCTTAATACACATTGCCAAAGCTTTCCAGAAAAAAACATATTTTACATCCTCAACACTAACCAACTTTACTTTGAAAAAATATATATTTTGCTAATTCATTAAGTTAAAAAGTTAGATCAAGTTTTAATTTACATTTCTTCAATTTACCACTAAGGTTGATTTTGATTTTTTTCATAAATATTAATCATTTGGATTTCATCTTATGTATTGGTATATATCCTTTGTCTGTTTTTTTTCTAATAGGGTCCTAGGGTGTTTTTTTACCTACTTATATAAATGTTTTATATATATTAATTACATGAATATTTTACATATTAAACTATTTTGATAGATATGTTAATAGTTTTTTTTTGCCAGTTTGCTATTTAACAAAAATGTTTTTGATATACAATGTCTTATTTTGTTGAATTTATATTTTCTTTTGCAATGTTTTTCATGCTTTTCATGTTTAGAAAGTTAAATATACTTCCCTATCTAGATGAAGATAAATATTATCCTACAGTTTTTTCCTTTGTATATGTTAATTGTACCTTTAATTCTGATTTTAATTATACCTTTAATTCAGAGAGAGGGGTTAACTTTTGAAATTATTGCATGGGTATTGGTGTGAGCATGAGGATATAAATATGATTCTTAGTTCTTTAC